GAGACAATGGTGCTTTCCCATTCTCTTGCAGAACACTTTCAATTACATGCTCACCGTAATAAGCATAAATAAGACCAGCGCTGCTAAGTCTAAAAAATATACATTAGTAGACATCCTTGTGATGATCAGCAATATATATTCATACATACTTGATTTTAAATTCATCGCCCAGTTCTGGGCGCAACGTACTGAGCGTTTCTACAAAACTTCTTTGATGGTGATCGTATAATTTTTTCTGATGATTAAATTCACCGCCAACATCTACAATTATATCACATTTCTCAAGTAACATTTTATCGTCACGGCTTCTAAAAATTGACGCATTTTTATATTCCGGCAGTTGTTTGAGCATAAAGCAAGCCAACACTTCATCACAATGGAATGTGCCACTGTGCGTGCCAATTACTGGAGCATCGCTGCGAAAACGTTTAGTACCATTCTCACTTGGATTTGATTCGCTGTTAGAAGTCATTCTTTTGAAAATCCGCAGCGAAAATTTTTGGATGCGAAACTGATGATCTTTATAAAATACAGAATTAACTATTTTGAGAAGATAAAATAAAATTGTTTACCTTTTCCCCAAACGATCCTTGCAGCAGAGTAGAACAAGCCGCACGTGAAACGAATTGCTGTCATTTTGATTAGGTAGCGTTGCCATGCAAGAATGATAGAATCTCAATCGTGGTTGCCATGTACTTAAGAAATTAATACATTTATAAAATATGGCACCTGCATACAGTGGGTAGCATGATAAAAATATAGTAAGGTAGAACCGCTGAGAGTCACTTTTAAAATTCTTGACGTTTCCAAACAATTTAATTTTTAAATTTTCTCACAAACTCACACACACATTTTCATTTTCAATCTCAAGCAACAACAATTTCGAACAATTTCAATTTTTTATTTTAACTTTTATATGATTTCAAATGCTGGCAAACTTCAAAAAAAAAATCAAGGCCGACAAATTGAGAGAACGGTTCTACCTTGCTATGTTTTTATCATGGTGGGTAGCATGAACGAAAGACACAAGATCACGTAATGGGCTGTTTTTGCTTACGCGTAAAAGCACATTTAGCGCATTTAGCTCTAAATGCTACTCTAAATTTACATTTATCCATACAAAATTCGACACCTCAATGCAACTCCATTTTTGCATTAAGAATCTAAATACTAAAAGCAACCCTGTGATCTTCCAAATATTCCACGATTCGAACATGGTTTAAAGAGAAAAAGTGGCAACATTGCTTTTTCGAGTATACTGTTACGATTATCCTCGAAACCTTGAGGGATTTCCCAAATACACTCG